TAAATCCCTTTACCTTCAGGTTGTACAAAGTTCAACCATCTGAGTTCGCTTCAAAAAAAGTACACGTGTGAGTTAGGGGAAATGATGTTTCCTTGTGCTGCAGAGACATAGTTGCTTTCTAAGTAAGCTTATTTTATCCAAAAGGCAGGAAATTGCAGCATGCCCAAACAATTTAGGTACCAGCCCTGACTCAACTCCCCTATTGAATCTCCCACACTTTCAAACTTGCTGGCCCTCAGCAACATCCGTGTGCTTTCTTGCCATCGCTCACTAGCCAACACACACCCTGTGGAGAGTCTTCCCATGTGACTGCTCCTTTGGAGGCCTTCTGACAGCCAAGAAAGTGATTTAGTGTTCACGGAGTCATTTAAACCATCCAGACTTTCCTCAAACAAGTGATTTACACTTACAAAACAGCCGTCCACATACAAGTCCCTCTCTCAGTTTCTCCATCCTTCCTGAAAATACATGCGACAGTTTTGACCTTCCTGGAGGATGTGACTTCTGTATTGTCTTCACAAGCCTTCTGTGGAGGTATCTCTTTTCCCAGTGGGGAAGCTCCTTTTAATAGCATTTTCTAGTATTGCCTCTTCTTGGGTTTTCACCGATTTCCTAGGCTTGCAGTCTACTCCAAACAGGCTCTGCTATACTCCAGATTCCTTACATTCATTAAGAGTAGTGGGGTAGTCTTTGACCCATAGTCTTTGTTGTCCTATTAAAGATGGTCTCTACCAGCCTAATAATGGCAGATTATTTAGTTGCTGCTCCTCTGTCAGTCAGGGAGACCCCTCCAGAACCTCATATTTTTTACCCTGCAGTCTATGGAGAAAGATACCTAGAGTGTAAATCATTAATGGTTAAAAACAACCAAAAACAAGAGTGCCTATGCTCAGATTCCTAAAGTCTCCCATTTGAAACTTGAATTAAAGCAAACTGATTTAGGTTCTCTGCAAACTAAGAGCTCATACATTTGACTGAATTGTACTACCAAGCATCAGCTGGTCTATGGTAACTAACGGCGTGTATGCTGCTAGCTTTCAGCAGAGGTGAGAAGAAACACAGTGAGCCTAAATCTTTTCTACTGGTGTTTAAAGCAAATGCTTTTTATTTCCTGTTTGCAGTGGCTTGGGACTTAGTTGCCACAGTTGCATCGATGCATGCCAGCTCATTAAATTATTGCAACTCAGTCATGTATCTAAATTTACTGATAGACAAGTATAGCTTTTGAAGACAAGTTTTCAAGTGATTGTAGGAGCCAAGCAGAATTTTCAAGAATTTTTAATTTTCTTGTTGAAACAAACAGAGATTTAGAGGTCTAAGATAATTGGGTGGTTGGGTTTTTTTTTCAAATTCCACCAGCCGACTAAATACCTCTGCAAGTCTGAGCAGCTCAGTCAGTTTAGAATATGGAATGGGGCCCTTGATCACTTAGGACTTTTCTTGTGAAGATCTCAAGATGCAGATCTGAATTCTTCTCATTTGAGGAATATTTATATACAAGCCAAGCCTGGATCCATTCTGAAAATTAAGTGAACAACAAAAAACAAATACGCACTTGAATCATACCTCTTTCTCAGAGTCTGACGCTCTGTTGTTAGTCTAATAATTTGCTAATCCAATAATTTGCCACCGAGACATCTTGAGCTAAATTTTTTTGTGCTTTCTTGTTTTTGTGAAGAATGGGGACACAGGGTATGTGTGTGTGTGAAGTAATGATAGCCAGTGGAAAATAACCAAAGCCGTTAGGTTTGACTAGAATTTACTTGCTAGATGCACTGAGGTGAATGTGCAGCCGTGGCACAGTGGGATGCACGTTGTATGTGCGATTCCAGTCAGCTGTCAAGGAGCCATCAGCTCCTTGAAACTCTTCCAGAGGCCACTGTAGAGAGGGTATTAGGGGTCTGCCATCCCCATCAGTAAGAATTGTATTTATACACTTGGAGGTTTTCTAGAGCATAGTTACAGCAGTAACTGATTAAAAATAACATCACGTATTGCAAATAATGAGGTGAAAGGAAAGTTTAGGGTAAATCTTATCTTTGCAGAACTGTAAATACTAGCCATAATCAGAAGGTGTCTGCCCCGGGCTGCACGTTCAAGAGCCTGACATTGACTTGCCTCTGCGGGAGCGCCATCCCTCCAGCTGACTCCTTCCAGGACTAGCAGTAGTGGCGCAAGCAAAACCAAGTGACTGACAATGGGACGCCAGATTCCTGCAGCACTCTGCCAGTGGGGCCGCACACTAACCAACCACCTCAGCAAACTTCCAGCACAGTCCGAAAGCACTGGTTGAACGACAGACCCACACATCCTTCCTCTCTTCCCTCAGGTTTCTAATAAATTCCTACCTTGGCCAAAAAGCATCTCTTTTTTTTCCTTGGGAATGTCAGCTAAGTGAACGTTTTCTGATTTGAAACTGCTCCCCCTCAAGACAGACCTCTATTGCAAATGAGGTGAGGCCAGACTGAGCCCACCACGGGTGTTTAGCCCAGTACTGCCCACCGATGGACATCATGAATGATTCACTGCTGACTTAGGCAATCACACCACTTTTACAGTGATTTTAATGAAGGACTGGGCAGAAAGAAAGCATGGAGATCTTTGGGAAATGCTGATCTAAAACAGTGAATTCAGCAAGAATTGTTGACATAGACTGTGCACGTTTTGTTGTTAAAGTAATCACAGATTACACAGGATGATGAAAAAAAAAATGGCAGTTTTTGGAACACAAGCAGTATTACCAGTTCTGATCAACTGGTAAAATATGCCCTGAGGAGCCAGAGCTAGAGGAATTGAAGGAGAAGGAAAATAAAAAAAGACAGTTAAAGTTTTTTTTTTTTTTTAATTAAGATTCTTGCACTAAAAAATCATTTTCTATACAGCCTTTCATTGAAAGAGTTTGGGAATGAATTGCACGTGTGTCAAGGAACCACTTACATGGCCCTTGCTACCCTATTATCTGCGAACTTCCCACATTATTAAAAGGCACGAACCAGTAGAACAATAGAATCTCCCTTCCCTTGTTCCTTATAAACAAAGTCTAGAAAATAAGTTTTTTTCTAATACGTGCATGTCTAAGAGTATGTGTGTGAGAAATTATCGGTGGACAGCTGATGGAAGAACTGGGCTTTGTGAATTTGTGAGAGGAGAGATGACAGAAATTACAGTGGTGGCCTGAACAATTTCACGCTCTTCTACAGACCTCCTGCGTAGCTCAGGGGAAGTCAGTTGTGCCCAGAGTGGCACAAGGGGTTAGCTGCAGCGGTGGCATTGCAGCATTTAATTGCGGCCAGCTACCTGCTTGGCATCTGCAGCTGTGGGTAGGTGACTGGGCTATGTATGCGACTTTGGGTAGTGGGGACAGGGAAAGGAAGGATTCTCTGCATCCGTGTGCCGAGCAGGGACCCGTCTAAGCTGGTCATTGGCAAATGCATGTGGAGGAGAATTATTTTCTGTCCTAGTCCCAGCTGCAGGGAGATCCTTACTCTCAGTGAGAAAGATGAAGCTATCACTGAACAATATGTGCATCCATGAATGAAAAAAATGGAAGTTGGTTTCATTTTTAATTTAAAACTCAGAAAAATTTCAAATGGGAGTGGACATTTTTCTGTGCAAAATGTTAATGAAAATAAGGGTTTTCCAACCAAAAAATCTGACTGCCTCTTTCCTTTCACATTCCTCCTCTTGTAGATGTCACGGATGAGGTGACCATCGGGGTAGGTTTCAGCTAGAATGGAAACCTGCAAGTTTGCCAGGTGTCATCTCTTCAAAACACAGTTTTGTTCTCCAAAGGACTGGTAGGGAGAGTCTATATTAAGGGCACTGGCAAACTAGGCTCTGGGTTTAGAGACAGTACTGGTTTCAGAGACACTCTTTGCAGTTCGAAAATGGGAAATACCATCAATAATGTTAATATCTCTAACCATTTCAGATGTGGTTGTTAAATATTTTATTCATATCCCTTTTCAAAAAGCATTTCATATTCTCATACTGAACATGTCTTCATCCTCATCATAGCATTTACAAGCTAGATGTCTTTGGTTGCCTGCCCTTTAACCACTCTAACAAGCCATTTCTCAGAGACTGGTTTTGCTTTCGAAGTAAAATGCAACTATTCGTCCATCTTAGAGATCTGGACAGTTGAGTTGTAAAACCCCTGTTGTTTCTGACAGCAGCAGAACCCCCAGCTCTGTGCGATTCACTTTCCATATTTCATAGTCACCAGTTATTATGCTGCACGGTGCACACACACACGTTGTGAGCAGGAAGTAGAAGCAGCTCAGCTCTTGGCTTCCTCAGTCTCAAGAGACTGCCATAAAACTGAAAAACACTAAACTAAAACCTAAGTATCTGTTAGACCTTTAATTAGAGACCTAAGGAGTGTTTGCCAAGAGGAAATTTGAATTCAATTATCCAAATAGAAAGTATTTAACCTCTCAATAGCACTCAAGTAATTATAATACTTGGCGTTTTTTTCAGGAACTTTAAAAAATAAAACAAAAAGCAAATTCAAAAATGGTAGGTGGTGTTGGATTTATATCACATGGAGCATACAAAGGAAAACTGTAATACTGCCCATACTTCATACCCCTCATGTTAGCACAGAAAGGGACAACCTCAAGCAGGGAGAGCAGGTTTCAGGATTCTTGATTTCCCCACTGAAACAGCCAGCAACAGTATCGGGGCCAACAGTGGTAGTTTTATGTGCATCAGTACAACAATAAACTCTCAACTAAGGTCAGCAGGTCATCTCACGCAGCATTTAATGTGATAACGATGCTCAGTCACTGTCAGAAGGACTAGGATGCATCAGAAGAGGCTATATAATCCAGTACATTTTGCAAAAATCAGTTGATACCAACCAATCCATTTGCATTTCAGATTGCAGCAGCTGTTTCAGCCCTGATTCCAACTGTCCTTACACTACACATCCACTTAAGAGTTTCCAGAATTAATCCCAAGGAAAAAAAGTCAATATTTTCTTCCTTCTCTCTTCACAGACTGTAGGTTGCTTTGGGATTACGTTTATCAGCTGCTTTCTGACAGCCGGTACGAAAATTTCATCCGATGGGAAGATAAGGAATCCAAAATATTTCGGATAGTGGATCCCAACGGGCTGGCCCGGCTGTGGGGAAACCACAAGGTAAGGAAGCAGTGCAGTTTTCCTCCTATGGCACTTCACCTTTTGTAACATCACAGGACTCACTTACAAACGGGGGAAAAAGGAAGAAAGCATGTGCATATAAACTAGTGCTGGAAAGTTGTAATCTTTCATTCTACGCACATGAGACGTGCAAAGCATCCAGCCTCAAGCACTAAAACCTGTCCGTCATATAGAGAACCTGTTGGTTTGGTTTAAAGGCATTTGGTTATAAATGCATTTCATTACAAAATTAAAAGGAGTGCAAGAATTAACGGTCCTTCTCTCTCAAGGCATCTCATTTCTTCCCGAAACCTGATGCTAAAGATGTTCTGGTTAGATGTGGTCTGCAAGGAGCTGTGTACTACATCTCAGCAGGAGCTTTCTGTCTGTGTTCCTGTCTGCACCAACATTCAGATTCCACACGCTGTCCTGTGACAGACATCAAATGCTGCAGGATTATGTGTTTCCTTTTAAGAGGGTAATTCTGCTTTGTTGTCTGGAAAGCAGTTACTGATTTTTGCAGTTTAGGGCTGAGTATGTACAGATGTATCTATATGAGTAGATGTATATGAGTATACTCATATGAGTATATGAGTAGTCAGCATGGATTTACTAAAAGGAAATCGTGCTTGACCCCCCTGATATCAATCTACGATTAAATGATTGGCTCAGTGAATGCACGGAGAACAGTGGATGTAGCGTATCTTGACTTGAGAAAGGTTTTAGAGACTGTCTCCCATAATATCCTCATAGACAAACAAAGTATGACCTGGACAAGAATAAAGTGATGTAGATTGAAAACTGGCTGAACTGCTGGGCTGAAAAGGTTGTGATCAACGGCACAAAATCCAGACACTAGTGAGGTTACCCCGGGGATTGATTCTGCAGCCAATACTGTTTCACATGTTCAGTAATGACCTGGATGATGGGACAGAGCACACCCTCAGCAAGTTCTCAGACAATACAAAACTGGGAGGAGTGGCTGTTAGACCAGATGGTTGTGCTGCCATCCAGAGGGACCTGGACATGGTGGAGAAATGGGCTAATGGAAATTCCATGAAACCTAACAAGGGACAGTGTCAAGTCCACCACTTGGGGAGGAATGATCTTGGGAGATGTGGGACTTTACATTTCCCCTTGTTATGTTTCATGACACCCCAGGCGTGGGACTGTGTTACTAAAAAGGTGGTCTGACACTGGAGCAGGTTGCCCAGAGAAGACTGTGGATTCTTCATTCTTGGAGATGTTCAGAACCCAACTGGACGCAGTCCTGAGCAACCGTCTCTGGCTGACCCTGCTTTGAGCAGAGGAATTGGACTAGGTGATCTCTAGAGGTGTCTTCCAACCTCAACTATTCTGTGATTCTGTATATGAGTATACCTAGCCTATAGTCTGGATAGGTCAAGATTTTCTCATGTGACTCACGGTTTACATGAACATCTGTCTTAGGGCTGCAACACTGGGAATGGAGAGTTCTGCCCTTACCCCACCTCCATGCTAATAATCAGGCCTTGCCACCGTGTCTCATGTTGAGTGTCTAAAACTGAAGCTATTTCAGACCACTGGCCACTTGGGAAATGCAGTGTCCTTTTAGCACGTAAGAAATGGAAAAAGCACACATGGTATTTCGGGGGGCTTTCCAACAAGCGGAGTCTAGATTTTGCAGGGAAAACATTGTCATTGTTAGTGTTTAATTGCCACAGGGGCTCTTTATGTGGCCTCACTTTGCAGAGCTGTTGCGGTCAGGGCAAGCAGAGGAGGTCTGCTCTTAGGGGACATTTTAGACAGGCAGATCAGTCTCATTTAATAAAGCCAGATCAACACTACAGACTTCTGCCTGATCTTGGACTGACAGAGCTGTGCCAAGCCAAGCTCCTAACATGGAGGTTCACAGAGCAAAAGCATGCTTCTACTAGTTTGGCATGTTTTGCCCATGGCAAGGCGGCTGCTTTATACTCGTGCAAACACGGTTTTGCCAGTATAGTTGTCTCTCCACTGGGAGTTTCTTTGCCAGCATCGTAACCAGTGCTCCTTGTACCAGAAAAATGCTCTTCATGTAGACGTAGCCTAAGGGAGTGATCCTGCTGTCCCAAGTCGTCACTATGGGGGCTGCCCACATACAGCTCTGCCAGTGGCCATTACTTCTGCCTTGTGACACTCAGCTCAGCAGGGCCATACCTCAGTCACCCTGCAGTGCTCTAGCTATGGCCTTTGGGATCAGCAGCTCCCAAAATAAAGGGGAGGCTCTGTCATAAACCTCTTGATTTACACCTGTATAAAAAGAGGAAAAACAGGCTCTCAATCTCCACAGTGCTCTGTAAGCATTAACTAGTTAATGGAGAGGAATCCCAGAGAAACAGCACTCCTAGCAGGGATTGCTGACAGATTCAGTCTATTAACCACTGTTCTTACACTTCTACAAAAGGTGGTTTCATTAAGAACAGGTTTGTCACATCCCACTTGGCATGAGCATCTCCCTCCATCTAATGTCTCCTCCTGTGGTTGATGAAATCTTTTGTTATCTGTAATCCAAGAAACTGTAGAAAAACATCGCTTGGAATTTTTGTTAGGCTTTCTTGCTTAAATTGCCCTGAATGAAAAGAGACCCATAAAAATTTGGTGATGAGAGCTGGAGGGGGAGGATGGGCCTGCAAACAGCAGAAGAGTGGAGCATGTAATTTCTTGAACTGACTTGGTTACTTTAGGTAGCCGTGATAGTTCTGCAACTTGTTTTGGCACTTAGGAAGATTTTAATGAATCATCTCACCATGGTTTTCCTTTTTCTTTTGAAAAAAACAGAACAGAACAAATATGACTTATGAGAAAATGTCCAGAGCCCTACGCCACTACTACAAACTAAATATTATCCGGAAGGAGCCAGGACAAAGGCTTTTGTTCAGGTAATTCTTTCTTTTCTTTGCCATTCTTTTCTACAGACAATTAGTTTTTGAAGATGGAGGATGGTAGTGTGTGTGGGATACTTCATTGCCACAGCTATAACACAGGTGACAATGGGCATATATTTGTAAAAGCTGTCTAGACCAGTGCTTCCCAGCTTTCAAGGCAACTGCACCAATTTAGGAAAATATGGGCCTGTTTCAATGATCAGTGGAGTCAATATAAGTCTTTTCATGCACTTCAAGCAGGCTGCGCCATTGTTTAAGACCTTAGCGAAATGATGCATGACCTCAGCCAAACTGCTGGAAAACCCACTCCAAGCTCACTTCTCAAACACAGCTGCCAGTGAAAGCTAAGCAGGGATCAGGCATTACCTCAAGTGCATCAGCATCAAAGAAGTGCTGATGACCATGTCTTCAACCGTGCTGCCTTCAAGGAAGAAAGGGACCTGCAAGAGCCGTTCATAAAACCTAACACATTGGATTGGATAATACAACGAAGAATTTAGGAAATAGTGCCCGAAACAGCGTAAAGCAGGGAGTTACTTGTACAAACTTGTGTGTGGCTGGCAGAGAGCGAGAGCACTCCAGTTCTCTTCAGACAAGACCAGTGAATCCTAGTGTGTACGTCTGACCCACAGAGCACTGAACTCAGACCAAAGACTGCTTTGATGTCAGTGGTCTGGATCTAGTAATGGGCTTGGAAATGATATCAATAGGAAGGCAGTCTTGGAGTTTGTTTTCTTAAATAGCTAACAGAACTGCATTAGCACTCAAACTATCTACAGCTGAAAAGGTTTCTGTGGAATGTCTTGTTTGTGTCAGCTCTTAGAAGGAGACTTAGGTGGGGGAAGGAGAGTGAAGGGAAGAAGGAATCACAGGCAAAATCAACTGCGTGGTTTTAATTCTTTTTGTGGAAAGTTAAAACAAGATTGTTCCATCAGCAGCAGTGCCAAGGAAGGCAGCCTGGGTTGGTATGACCTTGTGTGAAGACTGCACAGCCCCAGGGGGATGCTGTGATGCTGAACAGTGAACGTGCTTATCTTGAAGCCTCTTCTTTGGTGGAGGCACAAACAGTCCATCTCTTCTCAACCAGGCTGCCTATTTTCTCAAAACTGTAGAAACTTAATACCCTTGGAGACCTCAGTTCCTCCACCAGACTTGCCCAAAATTGACCAATAGATTCAAAGGTCACCAGGGAGCATAAAACATGAGCATATAAAGCTCATTTCCTTCAGAAGGGGGGGGAAAAAAAAAAACAAAGCATTTTTTGCACAATTCCCAATAAAAACTTGTTGATGTTGTTTTCTTAGACCTATTTATATCTGAAGAGCAAAAGAAGAACAGCTGCAAAAAATCAAGCCATTAATGTGGCTTCTTGGCTATTTCTTGCAAGCACAGAAATAATAAGAAATGTGACTATAAGTAACATGCAGGCAGTTGTCATCTGCAGATATCTGTACAGAGCTTTAAGTAAAATGGAGTCAGAGAAGGGATTTCTAATAGGTTGCCTCAGTGTCTTCGGCAACAAAAGAGGTCACAGATACTGTTTCTTCATTACCGTGTAGTTCTGGGTTGTTTTTTTTTAATTTAATCAAATGCTATTACAAATACCCATGCTTTGAGTTTCTTGACATGACTTAAAGCACAGACCAGAAAGGATACCCAAAGTACTGCAGTACAGTTCACATCAGCCCATTTCCCACGTGGTTTAGGAAATGGAGCAGACAGAAGGTAGGGAGGGCAGTGGGATCACTCCCTGGTTTGATTTCATCCTCACGCAAGATCCACAAGACAACACAAGGTTTAAATCAGGGCACAGTCTGGCCCGTAGGCTGTGGTGCTTTCTCACTGTGTAGCCAGGGACTGATTCACCACTTCTGTACGCTACTTTTTCACTACCATAACACCATTTATATCAGCAGCGTTCTCCCAGCATACGAATGGGAGTGACACATCAATGAGTCACAGACCTTTTTTTTTTTTCCCTAAATGCATATGTGCACATGATTTCCAAAATTAGAAGGGGTGGCAAAAGGTTAGTTGCAGGCTGTGCGATGCATTTGCTGAGAGACTCCAGATTTTTCAGACGGAAAGCCCTCAGCTTTATAACCTCAGAGGCAGAAGAGGAGGCAAGTCTTTCCCATTAGCTTCAGCAGTGGTTTTTCTGGGTCAGAGACAGTAGCAAGGCTCCTGTCAATTGGTTTTGTTTTCACTGGGGCAAAGATACTGAGCATATCATCAACCTGAAATAAAATCCGCTCCTCTGATTAACACATTTTGTACTGCTGAACGTTAGCCAGTACGTCGTTAATGAAAGACTGTGAAATTTTGTAACACTTCCAGCATAAACATCTTTCATCCTAATTTCTCCAGAAGTACTTATGAGTTAGGAAAGTGATTTGTGTTTAAACTAGGATTTCATCCTTCCTGTGCCACTCTCTCTTCCTCCGCCATTAAATTCAGAAAGAGAAAGCAGAGCTTTTCCGTGCTATCTCTGTGCAGTAGGACACAAAAGCATCCTGGCAAAGATCAAGACTGCAGACTTAATCGGCAGGCTGGTGGACGTCCTTTCCCATTTCCTACTGCCGCCATGCCTCCCCAGAGGCAGTTTCTGTTCCTAGCCCCCTGCAGACCTGCTGCATCAGGACATTAGTGCTGGGAGCCGTGGCGTTCATTTACAGAGGATACTGCTTCGTTACAATTACACTTGCTGCAGTCACACAGGAAAAGATACTCTTTGCTCACTGTTCCCTAGCCCAAAAGCTTTTTCTTTCAGGGCTTTTTCCATTTCCCAGAACTTGTTCTGCCTTGTCCCTTGGCTTTTTCCACCACTGTTCCTTTGGTGCTTCGTATCCCTCTTCACTCACCTACACACGAGCCTGCACAAACCAATAGCCCTCTGCCTCTCCACACCTTGCAAGTACTTCAGCTCTGAGATATGCTGGCCACAAAGGTCTTTAGTGTTTCTGTCACCAGACACCGTAAATGAGTGTACCTATAGCATACTATCATCTTACATGACGAACAGCAAACAATAAGAGGGAGAAGGAGTAAATATCTTTCTTCGGAAAAGACTGTGGAGTTTGGGACTTTAAAGGAGCGGGGTAAATGCCCTTCAGTTTTTTTGTTTCTGTTCCGGGTATGGAGGAGGGAAGACACCAGTAGGCTGAGGAGAAGCTGGAAATACTAAGTCATTGGGAGGATGCAGCAAAGATGATTTTGGGAGCTGTAGAGCTCAGGGCCCTCAATGTCTTGATGAAGGTGAAAGCTCAGATCACTGGCAAATCTGCTTGTTCCTCTTTTTTGCAGGTTCATGAAGACCCCAGATGAGATTATGAGTGGCCGAACAGACCGCCTCGAGCACCTTGAATCCCAGGAACTGGATGAACAAATATACCAGGAAGATGAGTGCTGAAGAGAACTGGTGCACTGCCTCTGTGGGTCCATGGGAGAAACATCTGCCCAGATGGCTGGCACAGTTTGGGAGGGGAAGCAACAACACAGAAGCAGTACTTGGGGTCGCCGCTTAGCTTGAAGACCACACAGGACCTAAAGCACCTTAACAAAACAAACTAACAGGCAGAAGTGGTGCTGGCAGAAAAGTAAAGGGGAGAAAGCCTGGACTTATGCACTACTTCACTGTTCCTACGAAGTCTCCCTTGAGTTCCTTCTTTCTTTTTGGTTTGTTTCAGTTTTGGGGGTTTTTTTTGTTGTTGTTTTTTTTTCCCTAATAAACATGCAGTTTGACTTTCCTTATCTCACATAGGACAAGACGTCATTTTTTTTTTTTTTTTTGAAGGCTTTCCTATGGAAATAGAGCGCTCTTTTTTTCTGTGCAAGTCTCATGACATAACACCGCATAAAACAATAGCAACACAGAAGGGATTTGCTCAAGGGTTCCAGTTTGCTCGGATCAATTTACATGTGCTGCCACTGGGAAATGTGCTGAAGCTACCAAAAGAATTTACCACACATACCTGTCAAATGAAGAGGAGTCACCCTTCACGTGTAGGCTGAGATATCATCCCAGCATAGCCTGGGCTCACAATGAGTCCTGCAAGTGGCTATTAACTGCTGGAATATGGACCAAAACCAATCACCTAAGTGCTCCAGGGAGGAGAAAAATAAATGTGACAAACCTCTGCAGTAGACTGATGTTGACATTTTCCCTGCCTCTGGCAAAGAAGTGATAGAATGGAGCGAGGGGAAGGGAGGGCGGGGACAAATACATATATATATATGTGTATATATGGAAACGTTTCATATATATATGTATATATATATATGTAACCCCCACAATATATCCACAATGCAGAATTACAGCTCAAAGCTTTCTCTAAAAAAGCGCAGGCTGAAGCATCTGTAATTACAAAAGGGAGGGGTGTTTCTTATACCTGCTAGCAATTTTGGGGTGAAAGGTGAAGGACTGTTCCTTACATCGTAGGGAGAAAGCAAAGGGACCCATCACAAGGTTTGTATTACTCAGAAACCTCTCCAGGATCATTTTGTGCTGCTGGAGAGGTAGATGATTCACCAATCTGAAAACTGATGGTAGAGAACTAGAGACCAAACAGCTATACTTGTATCTTGTAATTGATTTTGGCTTTGGTTTGGGATTTGTTTTTTTTATGCCTCCTACTACCCTCCCCCACCCCACAGTTCTGCCATCAAGAGAGCTTGCCTCAGCTTGCCCGTTTTTAACACGATCTAAAAGACAAGGAAAAAAGAAACCCTACAGCCCTGTTGCTTTCTTGGGTTTTGGTTTTATTCTGGTTGCAAGGTGCCCCATTTTTTTACACCCCTGATTTGGTTTGTTGCACTGAGGGTGCTTCGCATGAGGCGAAGAGCCGTGCCTACTTTGGTCGCAGGAAGCTCAGCAGTCCTTGGTGCCCAATATAAGAGAAACTACTGGCCTTTCTCTTTTCACGTTGCTTGGACCACCATGACAGGAAAGTCTGTGTTGTCCAGGTGTCCATCATCAGTGGTCCTTTTAATGGGAGGAAGATCTAGCAGCAGAAACGATGCTTGCAAAGGGAGAAGATGTATAGAGAAACTGTGCAGGAATCACATGGTGTCTGGAAGAAAGCACATCCACACCAGTTCATTAAAAACCAAAAGCCTCTTTTACGGGAACATGCATACTAGAAATGGAAAAGGTCAATGAGCTAATCTAATCCGTTTCAAGCAAAAAACAAGGAACATTGCCATGATAGAGCTTTTATCAGCTACTAAACCAACACAACATTTGATCTTGCCACATATTTAACAAGAGGGTTAATCTATCCAGAAAAAATGGCACTCGGCAATGGATAGTGTCCTCTATGTTTGAACAGAGATAGTCCAGTCTCGCAAAAGACTTTATATTGAGTCACAGGTCATAGAAGGAACAGCGTCTTTAAGGATGTAGATAGGCATCATACAAAGAGGAGAGATTTTTCCGAGCCAGGATCTGATGAGGAACGACAGGGCGCACATCTCTCCCTAAGCTTTTCCGAGCCTCGTTTTTTGATTAAATCATAGTCAATATGTTACAAGTCCCAGCACACCTCGTACTTGACTTTTTCTGCCTCAAAAGAAAAGATGTGGGAGTGTGTATCAGAAAGATGAGCAGGCAGCCTGTCACCTGCCTCTGCCGTGACTCTGAAGTCCTTGGGAGCTCAGGAGATGGGAGACTGGGAGACACTGAGGGACTTCAGTGGTCACAGATCTGAAACCAAGGGGCCAAGGTGTTACCCTGCTCTAGGGCACCCAAGTCGCGGCCATGTCTGGAGCTGGGGTGAGGGTGGTGTTGTGCAGAGGTGAATATGAATGAGAGGTGAAGTGTGATCAGAAGCACCAAAGTAAAGAAAGGCTCCTGCTGGTTTCTTCTGTTTCTTAGGGTGCTCAGTGGTAGAAAGAAGCCAAGTGTGTGCAAAAAACGATTCAAATCCTTTACTGCTCCGGCTGTGACAACTGCATAACTGCATTTTTTTTTTTTTTTGCCTGCTGCAGCTACTGTTACAAGATGGTGAAGGAAAAAAAAAGATGATAGGGACCTTCTATATAAAGTGCTTTGATAAGCCACAGTGTTTTGTGCACACTGCAAAATACAGAGGAGAGGTAATCCACCAGTATAAGCCCATACGCTCACTCTATATGCTAGCAAAGTTCATCCTCAGCACTGGGTAAGACAGGAAAAAGCAAGGAATCCTGAAATAGCACATTATCCCATAGGGAAATTTTCTAGAGGAAATGTTCACCTTTACCAAAAACGCAATCACTTTCACCTGCAGAATCAAAGTCAAAGGGAAAAAAATATTTGGTGGCTTTTAGAAACTCTTCCAGTTCACACGTAAAGGACGTCCTAAGATAACTTCTCAGCCACAATCATAGTGAAGTTCTCTCAAGGCTGATGCTAGTTGGAATGAAAATAGCCTAACTTGGAGCAGGCAGATCCCACACAGGCCCTGCCTGGCTGGTGGTGTCCCTTATCTTCCACCTAGTCTGCATGGTGCAGCAGTGAGTGGCACAGGTGACACCACAGCTGCCAGAACTGCACGAGCTTGGGACCTATTGTGGGAGCTGCAGGATTTGAACTGCTCTTGGGATCTTGGAAACAAGTTTAAAAATAAAACAAAATGAAACCAGGTTAGAGCAGGTGCACTAGACAGGTTCCGTTCTACCATACATCCAAATGGCAGATTCATGGAGTGCAAACAGAGCATTAACATTCTGAGCTATGGGAACACTTGGCTGCTTGTCTGGGCTGGCAAAGGTAATGCTGTCTTTTCACTAACCCCGACGCTCACCTCTCTTCTCCAGTTTCTGATTTCCCAGTATAGAATTTGCCAGCAGCAAAGCAGCCAAACTTTCTGCCTTTGCCACCAAAGCGAGTGGGAAAGGGAGAAAGAGTCTCATCCTTGGAGACATGCAAAAGCCATCTGGACATGGTCCTGGGCGACTGGGTCTAGGTGGTCCTGCTTGAGCAGGGACTTGGACCAGATGACCTCCAGAGGTCCCTTCTAACCTCAACACCCAACAAAGGATCTTCACACTGTGCAGTTAAGCAGGACCTTCATTGCCGTCAGCTTGCTACAAGTCTGAACAAGACATGCTGCAGTTCCACAGCAGAACGTTTTCTTGATTTTAGTTGGAAACCTTTCGACTGCCTCGCCATCCAAAGAACACTACTGGAGCCCTTTCTGTGAACACTAAGTCGCTACCACCCTCCCCAGATTTCAAGCTCCACGCATGCATTCTCCAGAGCTCTTTGTCAGACTGCAACCGTGTGCAAATCCAGAATGCAACAGTTCGAGGTCTTTTTTTTAAAATAAAGTTCTAGCCTGTTTTTATTGATGATGGCTTTTTGGTTTTTTAAGGTGTGGGGCTAAGGGACTGAATCAAATGAATGTAACAAAACAAAAACAAACAAAAAAGCCTATTCTCAGGGCCAGTGAGTTGCAAATAATTTTTAAAATGCCTGTAATTACATCATCTCAATAAAAAAATTTAATATAAAAATGGGAATGCCAGATTTTGTTGGTGCAATCATTGCTACAAGGTCTTTTCTTTTTACAAACTATGGTACCCAAGTATCTACAGCTCATAGCAGCTGTTTTCAACCAGGAAAAGAAACTTGCAGGCCTCTCATGCCCAAACGTGTGAATAGAGCCTGGATCTTCTCTGGAAAGCATTGCTTGGAAAAGTCAAGGCTGTCCCTTGGAGTATTCACTTTGCTGCCTGTCCTCGGAGATGAGCAGAGCAGCCCACTAGTGCCTAGATGGGTGTACCTGGTTCTCCTCTCTTCTCTTGGTGAGGCTATAGAGCAAAGAAACAAAACCGAAGCCGTGCAATGACTCCATTGCAGCTTTTTTATCCTGCTAAACAGGCCAGGTCAAGGAGTTTGAGAGCAAGAGTTTTTCCTGCTTTATCCATCTTTGCAAACCAGTCTAGAAACACTGCTGCTAATACGCTGCCCTTCCAGCACAGAGGGACCTTATTCTCCTGTCTTCACCCCTAACCAGGCAAGGCACAGAGATGTCAGTGCCACCAGGTGCTGGGTACTTAGGGACAGCAAAGTGAGGCAGCACAAACTGCCCACTGCTGTCCGTCACTCCCTTTGACAGTCCTTGTCTCTTGCAGAGTGGGATTACTAGTGCTTATGGCAGCGTGAGGCCCGTGGAGGGTTTCTTAATGTGCTGCTCCACATAGGTGCCACCAAACACCCCGGCAAACAGTCAGTCAGCAAGGCCCAGCTGTGGTACATTGCCATGTCTGGTGCTCTCTGGTGGGAATGATTCGTGGTGGGTGAAGTCGTTTGGATCCCAGCTACAGCTTGGGCTGAACCGTGATAATCTGGCTGATGTGTGGGTTATCACTCAGCTGCTTCTTGCTCAGTTTTTGGTTTTGTTTTGGTTTATAATTTGTTGGTTTTAAACCACAAGGTAAAGGACTAAGCACTAAACAAACCCCTCTCTGATCCAAGACATCAAGCAAGAAGGAAACAGTGTGTTGCTCTGTAATTCAGTCCCTTCAGGCCGTTTCTCTTCATTTTAGAAAAGAACATAGATATATCCTACACGGTCTCGCAGCATTCTGTGCACTCTGAACAATAGCAAACGCTGCAGGTTGTAGGCATACGGAGGAAGTTCTTGGTGGTTTTGGCTATCACTCCAGTGAACATTAGTCTCAGCTCAAGAACTAGTCTAGAGCCCAGAGACATTAGAGAACGTCCTTTGGAGGCTGCAGGACAGAAGAGGCCCAGCAGTGCATGCCCGATACGTCTTCC